CACTTTTGGTATCGACGTCCTTGTCGTGTGGCCTGGGTATTATCTAAATTATAGGTAATAGCTAACGGATACCAGTATATTTTTTTTATTAAATGAATGTTTAGTAATATTATATGTAAAGTTAATTATTTTTATTATAATAAATAAATAAATGTTATCAAATTATTAAAATTAAAATTTGTTAAGTTGTAATGAAATTTTAAATAAACTTTAGTAATAAAAGATATTTATTTAGACTAATAATCAAAACTCGTTTTATTAATAAATAAAAAACCAATTAAGTCTGAATATAGTTATGTATCGAATTGAATGTGAGTCGGTATTTCCAGAACTATATTTTATCTAAAGTTACAAAAGCTTATATAACATATCTGTAATATATGACATATTCGTATCCATTATTTCTAATCGAACGAACCTGATCAGAAATTCGAACCTATCTGATTAGTACATGACCCAAGTTAGTTGAGAATTGCATAATTTAAATAGATAAATTAAGATAACTAATTTTTTCGTTGTTATTTTATAAAACTGGTTAACTGGGTTACATGGTTTTGGACAGATTTCTAACTCGACTATTAGGAACACTAGTCGTATGTTTCCGATACAAGAAATATAGGTTTGGTCAAATTGCTAGTCAACTAAAAATTGTTGGTCAATGGTCAAAGGGGTGACTACAAAATTTTACTAACAGTAGTTAAACCGCTAAAATCAACCCACTAGATCATAACTATGCCTTGCATAAATAAAATTTAGTGATTATATGAAGATTGTGACTACGTATAAAGGAGAACGACTGTATGTGTATTTGATTTGCTTAATATAATTTATTATATTAATATCTACTATATATATAGCTAGAGTTAAAGTTAGTTTTATTTTTTGTATTAAATCCAAATAAAACCTATTCCACTCTTCTAGAATTTGGTTCTTGTATTATGCAATTCTATGGTTTAATTAAAATTTTCTAACAATAATTTAAAACTATTTCTACTATATTATCAATACAATTTAATAACCACACTTAAAATTCCGGAATAAATATTATGCACCATAAGAGTCCAATAAATCTTCTTCCTCTTCTGTTAGTTCTGAAAGATCTTTAAATATAGTATTATTTGCAGCATCTGATACAACACCATGGTTCATTGTAAAACCATCAAGTTGTAAAAGAGTATCTAATAAAAATTTAAGGTCTAACCCGACTTCTCGTAACTAGTAAGAAGAACTAAATTAAAATACCATATCAATTGTGACATGAAACATTAAAATTCAAAGAAATTACCATTAAACAATGATCTCTCGCGTATTTCAAGCATCTTTGCACTATTTTATCGTCACGATTGTGAATACTGTATACTTGACGTTGGAACATACTTGCGTAATGTTCTATTTCTTCTTTTGCCCATTTAATAAGACCTTTTACCCCATTTTAAATATCAAGCTTAAAACATAATTCTACTTGATTAACCTTGAATTAATTATTAAATATTACCTGATGACATTTTTATGTCTTTAAATGCAGCACTATACCAATCACATGTATTTTTAATCAAAGTAAAGTACACTAGTGACAATTCATTGATGTATTGAGGTATGTCGCCTTCAAATTTCAACTGCCTAAATTTGAGTACGATAATATTTTAATTAATCAAGAATATTAAATCCATTGTCGTAATGCTTACTTTGTACTTATTCGAATATTATTTGTTCTCGCAGACAGAAATAATTCTCGAGCCTAAAGGGGATGAAATTTTAATGTATCCCACTAACAATTATAAACATTATTTCACATTAAATATTAACTACCTGTTCACCATAGCCAAGGCGTAATAGCCATTTTACACATTTTTGTACTTGAGTCTTTTTTACATTAGGGTTAGTCAAATCTCTGCTAATTGCGTATGAAAGTCGCACCACTCTATCCTCCATTTTTACTCGGATAGAATCCAATTTAGCAGCATCAGCTGATATATTAGTTAATACTGCTTTAGCTTTAAATCATTTTTTTTTTTTTTTTTTAAAAAAAAAATAATAATATTTAGAATGAAAAATAATTTATTATCGCATGACAATATTTATGAATGAAATTTTCAAAATTCCAATACCTTTTTCAATACTTTCTACAGCTTCATCAAATTCTCTTGTAGCAATGTACACAACTAGTTGGTCCGCTAAATCCTCGATTTCACGCAAGTCATTAAATGAAAGTTCTCTAGGGGATCTTGTAATTGCTTTTGAACCAGGGCTTTTTTGGTTACGTATTGATGATGTTAAAGCGTTACGACTTCTCCGCGAAAGGGATCTTATAAGTGGAGTAAGTTGTTGTTGACTGTTTTGCTATTAATTAAAAGTAATATATAAATAATTAGATCAAAAAATAATTTCGGCGAAGCATTAATGCTATTACGGATTATAACACTCACAGCATTAATTATCAAATCTATGTAAATTTGAACAACCAACAGACATTTATTACAATTATTGAGAATTATATATATTTATTAGGTTAAATAAAAGCACACTTACCAGCATTCTTTGCAGCTTTAGCTGACATCATCTCGTCAGTAGCACGTTTAGTCATGTTGATCAAATTTTTCTTTTCTTCGGGAGTACTACCTTGAAAAATAAATTGATCCGTTGGATGTTTTAAGATTTTGATAAAATTCATACATCCTTACATAGTAAGTATGGAAAGAATTTATAGATGTGAGTAGGATTTAATGCACTTGATAATTTAATTCATTAATAAAAAGTGACATACCATCAGTATCTTTCATATCTATTAAACTAATATCGTCTAAAGACCAACAACGATCTGCTACTAGTCTAATCTTTGTTGTATCTTTGGTCGCTTGTCGTTTTTTTTTTACAGCAACTAATAAGCAATCATTGAGTAAAAAAAGATGAACAGCTTGTTTTGGCCTATTAGTATTAATACTAATTTCTACAAAGTTTGAACATTCGCGAATAATATGACGACCGGGTTCCAATGTGACAAAATTCTGAAATATCATATTGCATTGTATTGTACAAGCAGAAAGGTGATCAAATTGTTCATGCTTGTTAGATAATTAAAAAAAAAAATAGTTAAGAATAAAAGGTAAAATCAAAAACAAACCTGTGCACCTTCCACACCATCCCAGAGTGCTTGAATTTGTGCTTTCCAAATTGACTGCATGTCTGAAGCATTATTTAAGGTTGGCTTTCGTCCTCTGTGTACAATGGGTTCAGAAGTCACTGATGGCGCTGCACGAATAATTTTATTAAATTATGACAATATAAATGTAAAAATGTGTATGTGCATTTAGATGAGGGTCTCTAAAGACATACCAATCCCAACATTTATAGACTCTGAACTATCGTCTCTCAAATTGTCACTAACATTTTGCAATTTATTTAACAATCCTCGCAAGACTAGCATATCACTTTCTAGCTGTAAAGTATCATGCGAAAAAGATTAAGGACAAAAAATAATTCAAGCATCATTAAACTGCCTTAATGTTAAATCAATTGAAAAAAAAAAGACATAGCACTGTAAGGATATTTGATATTTCTTTAGATATTGTTACGAATTCGTTATAATTTTTATACACATTTCTCTGAAGATCGATAGAGGCTAATTCTTTAGATTCTCGAAGCGAGTCTAAAAATGCTCTTACGTCATCTTCAGCGGCATTTGCCAAAGCTTTTTGGATATCTGACCAATATATTTTGCATTAAAATTTTAGTAAAAGGTGTAGAAAAACAATTTAATAACCAAGATATGCACATGTTTCAGGTTTAAACTCGTCTCCAGCAAACTCTGCAATGTCTAAAGTAGGAGAATCTCTTAGATCGTCATCTAGTGAAAATGATCTAACCCCAACGCTATTATTCCATTTTGACTGACGATTCATTGCTTATAATAAAAAAAAATAAGTTGAGGACTTTCTAAATAAGTAGATCTGTTTAAAGAAGCAAGATCAGGTGTGACGTGAATATTTCATTTATGAAATTAGCTTTTGCGTTATAATAAAAAAAACTTTCTTGATATAATTTCCTCCTGAACTTTTGAATCGATTTGCATGTTACACCTATGTTACACCTGATCTTGCAATATGATTGGCTGTTGGGCAGAATTCTTCTCCCCCCAACTTCTGATTGGATATATGAAAATATTATCACTGATTGGACAAAAAATATATTATGCATATAGGGTGAAAATTAATTTAAATTATATCGAATTATTGTTGAAATTAAAAAAGTTGAAAATAAATTGTAAGATCCAATGTTAACATAAAAATGATGAAAAAAATCCATGTTTTCAAGAATATGTATTTTATTTTGCCTTAATATATTTTTGTTTTTCGTCGGACGCTTACAAATTCTGATCTGACATTATGACCAATAGGAACTAGGAGGGAAATTAGTAAATTTTTTTTAACTGTATCACTCACCCTACGCGGGATGCAATATTGATATTTGACATTCATTCTAAATTTATTCTTACTATAACGCGTTACTATTGAAAATCTGGAACATATTCCTCGACCGTTAAATATTGATTACGTGTACTTTAATGTCTTAATGCTTTTTATATTCATTTTATTAATTTACAAAAAAGTTAAAACCATCCGAGATCACGGGACCGACATTTTTAAGCTTGCATATTTTATGTATATTTTATGTAGAATCTAGTGCTAGCGCTAGTAAAACACATGACAATACCAATGCTTTTTTGACATGTAATATTGTCAATCATACGATTCGCGCCACCAACATAGGGCGAAATCATTAATCACCTTATAATTGATTTTTATACATAACTTTATCATATTTGCATTTCGTATAACCACAAAAAAATTCTATTTATTGAAAGATTCATTCCTTAATTTTAAAATTCAATACTTTGGTTTTATGTTTTCCCTATCATAGCACTAGCATTTTCATAAGTTTACAGTTATGAAACAAATTTTACCTTACACTCTAATTCTTTTCATAGTGGTACCTCTTTTATTATTTTCGACCTGTCGAATATTTATTTCCGCGTCACAATCGGGCTTAGGACCACCTAGATCAGAATTCATGGAAACTTTGCTGGACAAAACTTCCGAACAAAATTACTGCTCCGTGAGTTAGCGATTTGAATTTATTAGCTTTATTCCTTAATCTACTTGGAGGATCGCTAGCGAAATCTGCGATACAATCCCAAGTATTTTTTATATTTCGAAATCTTAATCGATTCTAATTTAATTCATATTTATAGTTGTCTGGACTTATTAGTGATGCATGTTGTGGTTATAAGACAGTAGAGAAGATAAATGATGAATTGTTTCCACAATTAAATGAATTAGTTAAAAAACGTTTTTTTAAGTACTATAAGGTATTTGTTTTGTTTTAATTATCAAAAAAACTTCTTAAAAGATCACCAATTCTAATTTTTACATTAGCTAAACCTTTATAAAGAATGTCCATTCTGGACGGAATATGCCCAATGCATAAACCAAGCATGTGCGGTAGAAACTATTGATGAGGTACGATCAATTTATTAATCATGAAGTATTGCATCAATTCTAATCCGTGTTCATAAAATAGACGGATGTCCCAGAAATGTGGCGCAGTGACGTTCTCGGTGCTTTACGAACGTCGCCTGCCGGACCAGTGAGTACTTTTATACGTAATTTTATTTCAGCTTATTGTTTTTTTTTACCTACTAATAGTATCCTTGACATTTTAGCTATTCCAACCTTATAAAAAATGTGAATTCAGTGAACAAGATTTTTGTGTTGTAGAAGATGAAGCAGATGTTGGTAATAGAATGTTGTGTATTACTTTGTTATTTGATATCAGTGTTTTTAAACCTACGATTTATTATCACCTTCAGAGAGTGTTTTCGTCAATCTTCTCGAAAACCCTGAGCGATTTACAGGCTATGCTGGAGCTTCTGCTGGACGCGTATGGAAAGCCATATACGAAGAGAACTGTTTTAACACTGCTCAAACAACGGATCTCTCGGGAGGTAAAGGCCAGTCTGTTTCTCCTATCAGCAAAAGTAATTTAATGGGGATATTTAAGGCTCCAAACCAGCCTGATGCAATCGATAGTGATGTCTGTTTCGAAAAACGCGTATATTATCGGTTAATATCCGGTAAGGTTTATATGATTTTATTAGATTAATATATATTCGTGTAGGTGATTAAAGCTCATTACTTTATAGGTCTTCATTCATCTATATCTATACATATTTGTAATGAATATTTAAATCAAACCACTGGCCAATGGGTAATTAAATTTTTTTATGTACATCAAATAGTACAAACAGAATATTTAACCTATTTATAATGTTCCAGGGGCCTAATCTTGATTGTTTTATCTCAAGAATTGGTTCTCATCCGGAACGTCTGGAAAATGTATATTTTACTTATGTTGTTCTCTTGAGAGCAATTTCAAAAGTGTCAGATTATCTTAAGGAGTATGAATTTTGCACGGGAAATAAAGCTCAAGATTCTGAAGTGAAAAATGTGGTCAATCAGCTTGTTAATACGGCAAAATTAATTCCTGAAACATTTGACGAAAAACAAATGTTTGCGTCATCCCAATCGTTTGTAAGTGATTTTCTTTCTTAAGAAAACTTGTTTTTTTTTCGATTATATCCCTTGACCATTTCTCCTTACCGTAGTTGTTAAAAGAAGAATTCAAAGCACGATTTAGGAATGTCTCCAGAATAATGGATTGTGTCGGATGTGATAAATGTAGATTATGGGGAAAGTTACAGATATCTGGTATTGGAACCGGATTGAAGATTCTCTTTTCGTATGATGATGAATTTTTCAAGTGAGCTTATTTTATTGTAATCAAACATTTTGATGTCTTAACATTTACACTGATTATCTATAATTAATATTTAATATTAAATGTAGCCCGAAAGTAAACCCAAATTTATTAACACGCACGGAAATTGTTGCATTATTCAATACATTTCATCGATTTGCAGAAAGTTTGAAAGCTGTAGAAGGCTTTAGACAAATGTATCAGCAAAGAATAAGAGAAGCCAGCACAATGCGACCGCATGATAAACCAAGTTCAAAGGTTTGTAGATTCTGATTTATAGACCTTGTTAATTTCATACGTGTTTAATTGATCTCCTTCCTAAATTAAACATAAATTATTAATTTCAGATTATCACTAATCCTGCAATAATCACGCCTAATTTCACAAAATTTACAAACCAATCGTTTTATCAATTTACTAACCCCCAATTCCTATTTACTTTGATTAAAGACACTTGTTCACCGTATTTAATACAATTTTATCGTTTTTTAGTGCAACAATTAGAGCAATGGGACATTCCCGTACCTTCTCCTTTAAAAATAATTGTCAAATAAAATAAATAAATAAATAAATAAATCATGGACTTTATTTTAATATAGAAATCATAGATTTTATTTTTAATATACAATATAATAATTTCCATATTAGTGTACAATGACTACTTTATACGGTTCTTAACCTAAAATAATGGCATTTAATACATAAAATTAATCTATTACAAATTGCGAAATTTATTCTTTTCTTGTACAATAAATTTAATAAATTTTGGAACTTCCGACCCTCAAATTGACATTTTAAAGGCAACAAGAAGTGGGTGCTAAGACATTCCGGTGATCTACTCTACATGCGGAGCTCACGAATCTCATTGAAAAAACGAGATACATGAATTTGACTAAGGTAGAGTTCATATAGTTTTTATTGAGTCGAATCGAGGTTATCTAACACTAGTTATAAAATTATGGGAAATTTCACGGAATTAAGCAGTGGGCCTTTTCTATTGTATATAAATTTAGGGACAGATAGCCTGTATTTAGTTTAGTGATTTTTACACTAACCAAAAAAATACAAATTTATACATATAAACATGAACTGCTCTCAGTGGGGATTTGTATCTCCATAGTAGGGACCAAATTTCATGGTCCCTTTTCAGCATACATGAATTTCATGTGACTTATATGCTCATTTATTTCGCAGTATTGTTTTATTAGCGTTAGTGTATTTATTATATTTATATACACACATTTTTGACGTTACAATAAAAATCATTTTTATTAGAAAAATTCTGCTTATATAATACGATTTAAAGTCTCAATTTGACTGTCAGTTGACATTAATGAATTATTTTCGGTTCGTTAACGTCAAACTCGTCATACAGAGTGAAAATTTTGCTGTTATTTGTTCAATCAGGTATTAGCTCAATATTAGGCGAAGAATAGGTATTGCTATAAGAGAGTTTTTTTGACTCGCGCAGAATCTGATAAACTAAAAAAAAAATTGTCAAATCTGCATCAAAAAGTGATGCTAAATGTCCAAATTTGGATAAGGAGCTCTGTAAAACATATAAATATCACTACTATAAATTTTAGTATAAAAATACTAGTCAACTGATCTGCACAAAATCAAATCCAGTTTCCCAACTCTGCCAGTCTTTAAATTTCAACATCTTTTACGAAAACTCGTTGGTTCTTATATTTACCACCTATTGATTTTATCCAAAGAAACTTATCAGCCTCTTTTATTTGCTTTTAATTTGACTAAGTCGCTTGGCAAGCTTGTTTGGAAAATGGTAAATACTCCCTTTTTTACCCGTTTGCATTTAATAAATATTTTTTATAATCACGTGGACAAGTCGGGTTGTAACGAGATCAAGGTTTCTTCACTTGACCAACATTATTATTAATAAACTTATGAAATAAGTTTAATAAAAAACCGCGTTATTCTAACAAGAAACATGACCGGCCTGCAATTGTAATAACGTATTCATCCCTTTACCTTGGTCGCGTTTGCATCCTCCCACCAATAATGTAAACAGACATATAATCATATCAAACTATATTACTTATTAACATTATTTTATTACTAAAAACCACCATGATACAAAAAAAGGCTACTGGTAATAAGCAAGGACCAACTTCACAGGAAAACGGTACTGCGGAACCAAAACACCAAGAAAAAGATAGAACACCAGTCGTGTCCAGGTCACAGAGAGCTGGTTTACAAGTAAGATATTTGTTTACGGTTTTTTTTTTTTTAAAGAACATTATATTTTTCCTTTACATATTTTAGCAATGCTGTTCGTATTTTAGCACTTTACAATGAAAAAAAAATAGTTTTAGTTTTAAACTTTCTCGCTGCATCATGTTTACTACGATCAAATGCCGAATTTATGGATAACAAAAAAAAAAAAAAATTTAAAAAAAAAATTTTAAATACATGGGGGGCTCGAATTCCGCTGTGGATCGCTTCCTCTTGCAAGTTATTGATCGACACCACGAATTGTTTTGCATATTTATTTTGTGCTAATAATTTATTTTTGTTTCATTGTGTTACCTGTCACGACAGTTCCCGGTTGGTCGTATTCATCGTTATTTGAAAAAACGAACTCTGAATAATGCACGTGTTGGCGCGAAAGCTGCCGTTTATTCAGCTGCTATTCTAGAATATCTTACAGCAGAAGTTCTCGAATTAGCAGGAAATGCGTCTAAAGATCTGAAAGTCAAACGTATCACGCCACGTCATCTACAATTAGCAATTCGAGGTGATGAAGAACTAGATACGCTGATTCGAGCTACAATTGCTGGCGGTGGTGTTTTACCAGTAAGCTTCATTTAATTTTAATTTTTTGTATGTTTCGTAAAATATGTTAACCGATTATACTTACCATGGCATTTTTTTTTTTAAGCACATTCACAAAACACTACTTAACAAATCAAATCAGAAGACAAAGAAGTAGAGATGATGATGATCGATCATTTGACTTGTTTGATCATGGCCGATCATAAAAATTTTTTTTTTTTTGAATATGGTCTGTCGATAAGTGATCGATCATTAAATAGTCATGCCTCACACCATTCATCACTCGTATTATATTCGCTACACGTTATTCGTGCAATTCATAAAATTAAATGCAAATAACTTTATGCTCAGACTAATCAACGCGAATAAAATGAATATTCATTAAATAGTTTAAGAATTTTAAAATACAAAATCAGAATAATTACAATAATAATATTTGCCATTTATCCTTTCCATGTTAATTCAGTAGTATTGATGTCATTGCTGAAGTTAACATCTCTTAAAATTGCACCTAACGTACTTGAAATTAGATCTTGCTGTGTTACGAAATTTTCGTAATAAAATTTACTATATATATATATTTTTTTTATTAGTCGTATAATTATTACATTTTGCGTAATGATTCTTTTTTTATAATTAAAAAAAATCATTGCATAATATTTTTCTTTTTTTTAGCGTTAGCAGAAATTCTATATAAAAAGCTACTTGTCGCGAATAATAAAATAGAACGGGTGAACCTGAGTTGCGAAATAGTGAAATCCGCGTTTTATTATATTTTTGTTATATAAAGCGGATTTCATCCTTATGTGACGATTTAACTCAGGTTTCACCCTGTCGTAAAAAAATTAGATAGTCGATATTGATAATTGAATAAAAAAAACACCTTCAACCATCTAATGATTACTAAAAGTCACTAAGCTCTCCCGGAATTGTAATAGACGCAGATACTAATTTAACGAAGGTAAATAGTCGATCATTTCAGGGCAAATCTGTAAATCGTGCTTTCTGAACATTTACTTTTAATAAAAATATCAAAAAATAAAGTAATTGAATACCAATATTTAATGTTATTCGAATCGTCGCATTAAAGCGATTCAAATGATATTAAAATAATAATTGTTAAGTTACATTATTTTAAAATATTTATTAAAAGTAAATATCCAAAAAATATAATTTACAGATTTTACCAAACCATCGCTTATATCGTAATTCGATCAATCGAAAATTTTCACAATTACCATTTCTACAAAGATTGCTTAAAAAACTAACTGCTCGACGAAAATTACAAAGTGTTCTATATGATATTATAGCCACCTTTTTTGCAAATTCCAAAAAGTGTTCTATATGATATTTTATAGCCACCCTTTTTGCAAATTATAATCTTTTTTTTTTTAAAAAAAAAAAAATAACCCAAAAAAGAAAATTATGCTGCAATTGTTGCGCTTGGTTTTTTTTCCTCCTTAGTTTTTAATCATCTCTTATCAATTAGTCAATGCGTGGTTTCCTCTCTACAAGTAAAATAAAAACCATATCGGTAATTCACAGAATTAGAATAAAACTAAAATTTACTTATAAAAATACCAAAGATATTTTTTCCTTTCGTTCCGATATTTCATGTTAAAAAAGATTTTGATATTCATCTATTGAAAATCTGTATTCTCATTCGTGTAAATGTTGCAAGAATTACAAAAATTATTAGCATCAATACAATAATAATAAGGAAAAAAAAATCTAGTTTCTATGATTTTGCGATTTTAATTTGAAATGTGCCTAAGGATGTATATTTATTTAGTAAAAATACGAATTACAAAGGAAAAATTGCAAACAGAAGAACTTACATTGTGGCAAAAGGGAAGTTTCAGCGATTACTACACTAACTACACCCAAATTAGCCAATGCACCTCTGATTAAACCACACGGAAACCAAAGATACTAAGAAACAGTTATTGTTAATTGTTAATATATTTACAATTATACGTATACTTTCATAACAATTGAAGTGATAATAATAAGCTTACAGGCACAGCTTTCTTTGCAGCTTCGGCACCTCCAGCCTCAGTAGACATTCTAAGAAACCATCGAAAATTATTGTCCTGAAGTACATATACACCCTAAATAAGAAACAAACCGAATTAATATTTACTTATCTAAATCATATATAGTTTTGCATTGAGAGCTATAATTACTCTGTGATTTGTTTTCAAATTATCAATTTGTTTTTTGAAAATTATAGTCCAAAGGTCTTTACATATAAATTTAACCACATCAAGAGTATCAACAAATCGCGGGCGATCTCTTGTAAACCTATAAATCGATCAATTGATTAATGAATCAAAGATTGTAAATCGAAGGGTATTTAGATTTACCTTTCAACTAAACTTTGACCAACTTGATATCCCAATACTTCCAATTTATAAAATACTGATTCTTTATCATTTTCTGAATCAGCCGTTGTACGATACATTAAATCAACCATCTCCATCATTAAAAATTCCAAACAACTTTCGTTAACGAGTATAGGTTTAGTAGAGCCTCCTGTTGTAAAAGTTGTACTTGTTGAAGAATCGTCACCTGAGGCTAAAGACGTAAAAAATGGTGTTATCGCTGATGATGCACTTTGAAGAACTGACATTTTTTTCTTTTAAGACAAAGTATAATTGATCTGTAATCTAATTACGATAAAGTTCGGGAGTTCTGTTGGTTGCATATCTATATTTATGATGATCGTGATCAAATGTTCTGAAGATAGACTTGATTGAGGCTTGTATTCGGATAAGAGTTTTGTAACACTGAGTTAGATAACACAAAGTTAAACTTACTAACGCAATTTGCTTCTGCTTTCTTGCATTTCCTATTGGTCGCACTATGTGATATACATCACTCGGCCACCCCTGCGGCCAATAGGAACTGAAAGTGGAAGAGTAACCTAAATGTTGCATCCATCTCACGCGATTAATCGGTAAGGGGTAGTTTAAATAAAAAGGTGTCATTTATTTTTAACATTTAATTAACCTTAACGTTAACGCATTCGATCATTAACTTGGTCGTTTGATTAACTTCAGTGTCTTGTAATATGCCACCACCCAATAAGCCTCGTCGTCGAAATTCTCTTGTTGGTCAATGGGATACAACTACTAAAGTTATCAATGTTAAACAAAAATTTTATTCCTCTCCTGATAAATATACTGAACAACAAATAGCAACGTTTACAAAATGGGTTAATATCCAATTATGCACAATCCATGTTGATGCTGAAACAGCCGAAAAGATCCCTGAAATTAAAGCAATCGACAAAGATTTTAGAGACGGTAAAAGATTTATTCAATTGCTTCATGTTCTGTATGAGAATGATCCTGACTTGCCAAAGCCTGAACGTGGTAGAACAAGACATCATTATGTGGCTAACGTTGGCAAAGTCATACAATTTCTACAAAATAAGTTGGACGATTCAGGTTTAGCTGCTTTACAGGCTATTGGTCCTGTGGATATAGTTGATGGAAATGTTAAATTGACTCTTGGTTTAATTTGGTTGATGATTTCAAAATTTCACCAAATGGTCGGTACATTTGACATGACAGAAGAACAACTAGCTGAAGCTGAAACTAATTTATCTAAAGAGAATGTCAAAAAAGGAAGTCCTGACACTTGGTTGGATAATCTTGTTGAACAATCAATTGGACCTTCAACTAAAACAACGTCAGATACTTTAGCAAGTATTCAGAGCAATTTTTCTGGAATTAATCAACTTGATTCACCTTTAGAATCTGAAGAGTATTATGATGAGCCGGAATTCATTAATAATTCGCACGAGCAAGAATCATCTGATCATGATAAGAAAGAATCATACGAATCTCTTCATGATAAACAGGAATCATATGATTCACTCCATGATAAACAAGTTTCCTCCGACGATCAACAGACTCGATCAGATGTTCAAACTGATCAAAAAGATTCATCAATTGTATCCCAATCGCCACCTACAGTCATTCAACAAGCTAATGACAAAGGGAAATCACCAGCAGATACACCTACAAAACGCGTGTTTTCTTCGCGTTTAACATCTGAACAACAAAAAGCAAATGCTGATAAACGTTTATCACTTCCTCCGGATAGTTTTCTGAGAGGTTCACTTAACAAGAAAGTTCTTCCTCCGCCAAGAAGATTTAAAACTCTTCGATTAAGCTCGACTCCTACGAGTTCTTCATCTGGTTTATTATTTTGGATTAATATGCAACTTATTGATTATGCATCAGTTCTACCTACTACCTCATATCCTGTTGAAGGTTTTATTGGATTGAATGATGGTATTTTACTGGCTACATTAATACATCATAAAAATAGTGAATGGATTGAAGATTTTGATGAGTTAATCAAAGATGGTGCATCTGATGATAATGAAAAAATAATAAAACAAAGATTAACAAGGTGCTTTTCAATATTAGAAGAGAAATTAGGAATGCAAAAACCTAAGGAGTTGATATCAATTTTAATAGAGAGTGATCATAAGAATAAAATTCGTCTCAAAAGGACAGAGCTAATGTGGAATGCATATATATCGGATATATTTTTAGCAATGTCCGAAAACCGTAAAAAGAAGTATGCCATGAGAAACTCCGTGAGAAATTCCATAAGATTGAAGCATATAAGTGAGAATAATGAAAATGAAATTAATGAAAATGAGAATAACGAATATGAGAATGATGAAAGTGATGTGCTTTCAAAACTTCAAGAAAGGAGTACGCAGATCAATGAAAAATATGATAAGGAGAAGAGCAGGAAAAAATTGCGTGGATGTATTCCTTCTTTCGGAAGTAGCCGCAATATTTCGCCAATGCCGCCATGGTCGCCAAAAGGTAATTCTTAAGGATGTTTCAAGTATTATTTTGATATAATTAACATTCTCTAACAACCTAATTCATTTAGCCTCAGTAATTACGGCGTTGTTCGAATGGACTATTGGTTGGCTGTTAAATGATCCAGAATCCGAGGATGATAGTGATTTTGACAAGGATGATAAACAACGCGATCGTGAGATGAAAACTATTAAAATTGGCAAGAGAAGATCTGATGGTACTTGGAATATTCAAAAGGCCAATGAGTGGAAGAGAAAAAGTGAATCGTTAAGCGATAATGACGATATTCCAATACAATTATTGGCTAATTCACAATCAGCTCTTCATCATATGTATTATTGGGGTTAAATTTTAAGTTATTGACTTTTTCGATATCCAAGATTATTAATATTACAATATACTGTATATACAGTATATATATTATATATATATTTTTATTTATGTTTGCATATGTAAAGTAACATTTCAGGGATTAGCAAAATTATTATATAAATAAAGGAATGTATAGTATATCACGTTTATCTTGATAAATATCGATATCTATGTATAACAGATCATCATTTCTGCATTTGTTCGAAACTTAATTATTATGTCTCTTAAAGACAAGGTTTTATTTATCACTGGTGCTTCTCGGTAAGCTTACCTGCTCGACATATTTATTTACAGTTCTGATCTAAATAAAAATGGTATCCATGATCATATGTTTTTAAAGCGGGATTGGTCTTGCGATAGCTCTAAGAGCTGCAAAAGACGGAGGGTAAGTTTAATTATATTAACTCTTTTTCATGCGTCACACTACGATTGTATCGATCCTATCTTTATAATTTTTTCAGGTGCATTGCTGTAGCTGCCAAGACAGATACTCCACATCCAAGAGTAATTAAACTCAAAATGTTCGCTCATTGAAAGCTTTAAACCGAAAAATTCATTGTCCCATGATTTTTTGGTAATTTTCACTTCCTATAGCTTCCTGGAACTATCCATACGGCAGCAGAAGAAATTAGACGTGCGGGTGGAAAGGGTATACGATCTTTTTTGAGAATTTGTAATAATAAAGTATGAAATATTTTTATTTTTCATCTATTATGTAGCTCTTCCCTTGGTGTGTGATATTCGTAATGAAGAAGCGATTAAAGCTGCCATTCAAAAAACTGTAGACACTTTTGGAGGAATTGACATAGTCGTTAACAATGGTACGTATTTATTATTTGTTTCTAATAACTTTTATTGGCAACTTACATGTTCATTATTTTACTATCGTAGCGTCTGCGATATCTCTAACCGATACTCAAGATACTCCTATTAAAAAATTTAATCTCATGTTCGAAATTAATTCGCGTGGAACTTGGTTAGTGACAAAGGTATAGTACAGGCACGTGACACTGTGATTAAAATTTTACCTGATCCGACTTAATCTTAACCATTGAATTTCTTTAACGGCAGCATGCAATTCCACATCTTATTGAAAGTGGACGAAAAAATAGAAACCCTCACATTTTGAATCTTAGTCCACCGCTTTTATTAAAAGAGGATTGGTTTAAAAACCATGTTGCTTATTCAATGGCGAAATACAACATGTCACTTTGCGTTTTGGTATTTCAATATCTGATATAACTTATTATTTATATCCTTTATGATTGTTATTAAGTCTTTCTCTTCCATTGTAACAACATATCAATAGGGTTGGGCTGCTGAATTTCGTGATAAGGGTATTGCTGCAAATGGTATTCACATATATATTAATTTTAAATGTTCATTATTTCACAAGCGAAATGGAAAGTATCAAACTAACATCTTGCTTTCTCACTATAGCACTTTGGCCACTAACAGTAATAGAGACATCCGCTATTAAAATGTTAGGTGAGAATTCAACTATCGTACAGCGTGGACCAAATGACTCCCTTTTATAATACCCTCACGATTTTCGAGACCTAGAATGTAAAGTACCCGGGTACTAAGTACGGATTAATTGTACTTGGGAATTTAAAATACCTGGATACTAAAGATGGATTAATTACACTTAAATATTACTGCGGCACTCATATAGTGCAACTTATACCCCCTACGTTGACCATAGTATCCATCCGATTATAATACCCATATACTGTATATAATTTAATTGTAAAGTATCCTGGGGTTTATTCCACGCCGTACGGTAAATTGTTGTATTATTATTAATTATGTGATCATTATTAAACAAATAGATTCAACTAAACAAATAGATTCAAGCTTCGGAAGCAATTCAAGAACTCCAGAAATAATGGCTGATGCTGCACATGTAATTCTTACCAAAAATTCAAAAGAATTCAGGTATGTATATGAATATACACAGTGTTGGCCAATGACCTTTACGACCTGTCATAAGTCATTTGGTCATAATGGATGTCAATATGATCCAAAATTATAGTAAAAATTTTTTACTAGCATTTAATATAACCAATATGATCTATAGTTAAAGAGTCATATTACGTGACAAAAGTTAGTTCAAAAAATGTTATGATCTAGGTCATTGATCAACACTATATACACGCTTTTTAAGAGAAAGTCTAATGTAAATTTTTTTTTTCCTATGTAATTAAAAGCGGCAATTTTGTAATCGATGAAGTAATTTTGCGCGAAAATGGTCAAACCAAATTTGACCATTATTCTACTAAACCAGGTGCCAATGACATGACTTTTGATTTATTTGTTGATGATAAAATCATTAATAAAATGAGGGCGTTGTGGGGTTCTAAACTATAAAATATAGCAATTTTTCAAAGATAGAATGTAAGATGTGATTCATATATTGAGTTTAAAGGATCTTTATGCTCATTTTTTAAAAAAAGTTGCCTGAGAGTAAAGTATAATAAATTTATAACTTCCTAACGGCCTTTGTTCTGCCTGGATGTGAATTTAAAAAATATATTGCTTGAGTGTTTTAAAAACACATATTAAATGTTGGTGTTTTTACAAATTAATTTTATAAAATAACAACCATAATCATTATATTACCTCTTACTAACAATAACTCAGTTATCATTATTATACGTACATGTCGTAAGTAGGAATAGAGTTTAAATAGATTTAGAATTTATTAGAATTTCTTAGATTTTAGGGTTAGAGTGTAGGTTTATATAAAACTGTTATATATTTTAAGGATAAAGGTAAATGGATTATTTTTATATAGTTTTATATAGTATTTTGAAAATTTTATATAAAATTAATATATGTTTCTAATAAAACTTTCTTAAATTACAACTAGTTTTTATTAAAATTTTATAAAATATAAATAAACCAATTTATTTATTATGATAAAATTTGAACTATTATTATACTATAATAAACATACTTGTATATATTACAAAGTTTTTTTGAATATAAGAGTGTGGCAACTTAATGAAGTAGATAAGTTGTTAACCCTTCAAGTGGTAGGTTGGGTCAAATCCTATTAATGGTGAAAATTTGAATAATCATCTATGTAATATTTATATTATAATAACTGTTTTTAATGATTAGGTTAAGATATCTGTAATGATTATTACATTAACATGATTGGCAGGTCATGGCATATCTGTATAAGTATGCTATTATACAGAAGAATGCAAACTAGCATTGAGTAATACAAATTCTAGATAAGTCTTTATAATTATATAAATATATTAAAATTAGGAAATAAGAAGTCTATTTAGAAAGATTCAAGTAGAAAAATAGTATAGATCTTTAACAGTATTACTATAAAGGTTAAATCTAAAAAACAGATACCAAGATTATAATACTTAGATGTCCAAGAACCTTCAAGTTGGAAGTCTCAGAGATATTATCAACTAGGTTATTAAAATAAATTAAAGAAAAAAATATTAGGCTAATCTAATATACTAATAGATTAGTTATAGTCCTATACAGATTATCTGAATTGGGAATTTGATAAAAAAATAATAGTATACTAAAGTATCAGAAATATATTATAAAATAGATACTGAGGTTTAAGTGAACTTTACAAGGATATAATAATTAAATAATATAACTCTAACTGCAAATATTGGTTTTGTTACAATGATATTAAGTTAGTTGTAAAAATATATGCAAAAAGCTCTAAGAAGTTTATCTTAAAAATAAAATAATCTTAAGATTAAGATAATAACCTAAGCTTGACCTAGTAATATTAATATAGTTGCAAGTTTAGAGAGTTTAAAATAGAATATTCAAGTAGATGTATTAGGTATAACAATTAATAAGAAACCTTTAGACAGTTTCTTAAATAGGTAATATAAAAAAATTATATATATAACCAATTATATATTCTTTTTGTAGTAGTTTATAGAATCACATTATTAAAAAAATCATTAATAAAAATCAAAAGACCAAAGAGATCATCTTAATATCAAAAAATATATATATAGATTTTTAGATTATTTTAAAATTTTTAGAAATAACATAAACCTATTAAGTTTGATTAATTAATTTGTATTAATTTATAAGTTAATTTTATTAATAAATATTTATATCTAATCTTTAAAAATTTATATCTTATTAAGTTTTTAATTAATTTTAATAATTTTATGATTATTAAAACTAAAAAACTTTGATCTACAAATATTTTATTTTTTTTTAAATATTAATTTACAAATATTTTTTATAAATTAAAATTAGTTTATTTAATATAATTTTTTATAAAATTAAATATATAAAAAATTACAATTAAGCTTATATATAAAATTTAAAATAATATTATCTACTTTTAATAAATTATAATTTATAATTAAATTATTTATTAGTTATATAATTTTGTTATTTAAATTTGAATATAAAATTTTTAATTATAAGTTAAATGATTAGTATATCTAAATTTTATATTATAGTTATAATTTATTATTTATTTATTTATCAGATATTTAATATCTGAATATATTTGAATATCTAGTTACTATTAATATCTAGATAATTATTCAAATATCTGTTAAATTATAAAGATATTAATAGTAAATAAATATTTAGATAAATTTGGATATGAATAAATGAATAACAGATTTATTCAGATTAAAACTTTATTTTATATAAAAAGTTTAGATAAATTTTACTTTTTTAACTTATTTAATAAAAAAAAGTTATTAGTTTAATTTTGTATTTAAGTTTGCAAATACTTTAGTATTAGAAGATTCTTTTTATAAAATTTTAAAAATAATTTATCTCTTAGATTATAGACTAATATAAGCAAATTTGCCTATGTTTTTATATTTTTTTGGCTCTAATCTATTTTTTTAAAATATTAAAATATATAAATAAAATTTAATATAATAATATTTAAAAATAAAAATTACTTTTTTGCAATATTTATTTTTAAATTATAAGAAAAAACAAAGTAGGTTACTTATAGACCAAAAATATATAATTTTAAAAAAAATTTTAATAACTTTTTAATTTATCTTAAAAATTATAATTTTAATTATTTCAAATTTAGTAATTTATATATAAAAATTAGAAGAATTTACAAATAAGGGTCTAAAAAATGAAAATAATTACAATACAAATCTAAATAAAAAATAATTATATATAAAAGTTTAATTTTAAAAATATTACATATAAAAATCTAAGTTTATTAATAAATGAAAAACATAAACACAGAACTACTGCACTTCAAATTACTCTGACTATTTGACTTATAATAATAATAAAATTGTGATTATAGAATTATTGATTGTTTTATTATAAATATTAGATTTATTTAAATATTAATTATTAGATAAAAAAAAAATAAATACTAGTTACAATTATTTTTACTTAAATTTTTTAAATATTATATAAAAAATAGTATTAAACTAGTATAATTATTTATAAGATGATGAAGTTTCAACAGAGTAGATTTTAAGAACAGAACAATTATTTTTATATTAGTAAAAATTATTCTAATTTGTAGTACTTTACTTGATATTGTTATAAAACAAATAATTATTATTTTATTATTATATATTATTATTATTATTATTATTAGTTAGTATTAGTTATTTTATTATTATATTATTATTATTAGTAGTAGTTGCTAAAACTTTCTGGTTGCTTAATAATCACTTAGTCACTTAGTTACCTAATTGCTTAGTTACTTAGTCACTTAGTCACTTAGTTACTTAGTAATTAGTCACTTAGTAATTATTAGTCATTAGTTGCTAGAACCTTCTGGTACTTAGTAATTACTTAGTCACTTAGTCATTTAGTCACTTAGTTACTTAATGCTTAGTCACTTAATTACTTAGTCACTTAGTTGCTTAGCTGCTTAGCTTACAGATATATAAACTCTACTAAATTTCCCAAGTGCAATTAAGCAATAGACATCACTTTTTCTTTTAATATTGTAAATACATCTTAAGATTCTTTAGAAACAGAAATCTAAGGATAGCCCTTCTTGTTATTACTTTAATAAACAGCTTTGACTATAAACTATATTGATACTTTCTCTTTAGAGTAATTCCTACAGATAAGGTTTATTTCTTTTTAGTAAAATAAAGTAAAGTTATTAGTATTTATTACTTTTTTCAAACTGCCTTAGAGAAGAGTATAGTTTCTTGACTATGTCTAACAAAAACTATATTTCTCTCTTAGACATTGCATATACTCATAAGAATTTACTATGCTGTGTTATCATTATATAGTAGTGTAAAAATTAAAAAGACTTTTACCTATAACAATATTATAGTAATTTGTTATAACAATAACTGATTTTTTAAAAAAATAAAATTTATTTAATTTGAAATTTTCTTTTTTTACTTATAGTTACTAATTTGCAATCGATTGTTATATTTATTAATGCTTATATTTCTTATACTAGATTGATGTTACTGTTATTTTAGATTATTATATATAATATTTTTTAAAAATTAGGCTTTTTTATATAATTATTTTTAATTTGAGTCTGTATTTGTAATTATTTTCATTTTTCAGATCCTAATTTGTAAATTTTTCTAAAAATTAATACTTAAAAGCAAAATTTTTTTTTAGTTTCAAAAACATATAAAATTTTAGAAAATTTGAAAAATATTTTAATAATAAATCTTAATATTATATAACCTTTAAACTTTAATTAATTAAAAGTTTTTTAATAAAGTTGAAAAGTTTCTTACCAAAGTTTATAAACTAAATATTTTTTACTAGATATAGCAATCAAGTGAAATAGGTAGGTTGTCAATCTTCTAAGTAGTAGATTAAGTGTTCAAATCTTATCAACAGTAAAAATTTGAATAATCATCTATATAATATTCATATTATAGCAATTGCTACTAATGATTAAGTTAGGATATCTGTAATGACAGTTATACTAATATGACTGGCAGGTTATAGGCATCTGTATAACTTGTTATACAAAGAAATACAAACTGACAAATTAGGTAATACAAATACTAGATAAGTTCTTGTAACTGTATAAATCTATTGAATTTAATAACAAGAAGTTTATTTGGAAAAATCTGAGTAGAGAAGTAGCCAGATCTTTAATGGCTCTACTGTAAAGACTAGACTAAGAAAATAAATATTAAGGTTATAGTACCCAATCATAGTAGCCTGATAGGCAAGAATCTTCAAGTTGAAAGTCTCAAAAGTACTACTAATCAGACCATTAGAATGAACTGAAGGAAAAAAATATTAGACTAATCTAATATACTAATAAACTGATTATAGTTCTATACAGGCTATCTGGATTAGAAGTTTGGTAAAAATACAGATAAAAAGGCAATAATATACTAAAGTACTAGGGTTATACTGTAAAGTAAATG